GAGGGCACAAGCCCGATAAAAAAAAAAAAAAAAAAAAAAAAAAAAAAACCTCTCAAAGAAAATAAGAGAAAAGAAAATGTTTGCTCATCCTTGCCTAAATTTAAAAACACTCAGTCTGACTGCCTAAATTTACAACATTGAGCCTGATTATTAAGTTACATTACATCCTTGGGTATTCCATATTTTTGGACAATCTACGGTGGTTGTAGCTGTCACATATTCAGCACAAGTGTCCCTGCAGTTTGAAATTTTTCCCAAGACCCACCCTGAGTTTCAGTGCCTGGCTAGAAGAATGCACAGAACTCTGAAAAACCATTTTATTCACACATTTATTACAGCAAAAGAACACAGATTAAAATTTAAAAAGCAAAAGGAGACAAAAAGTAGGAAGGGGAAAAGGCGCAGAGGGCGAGTCCAGGAGACACAGGCCCAAGCTTCCAGGTACAGTCTCCAGTGGAGTTCTGCAGACAGTGCTCGACGCTTCTAGAAACCACACACGGCATGTGGAATGCTGCCAGCAGGGACCTCACCCAGGTCTTGGTGTCTGGGGTTTTTATTGGGATTTGGTCACAGTCTTAGTCTGTTATGGTGTTGGTAAGCTGTGATACTATATCTGTGATTTGTAAAGAATAGACATTTGGTTCACAGTTCTGGTGGCTAGAGAGTCCATAGTCACGTCTGACCAGACTCCGGGGCTGTGTTACAACATGGTCGACAGAAGCAGAGACGCGTGCAGACGCGAGCAGGGGACAGGGACCTGTGGGCAGCCATCTTACTTTCATGACAACCCGCTCTTGTGGGAACTAACTCATCTCAGGCCCAGGAGAGTGGGAACACATCCCCTCCTGTAAGGTGGCATTAATCTGTACCCCTGCATCCAAACACTGTCACCTGTTCCCCCTTCTGAACATCCCACCTCGTCGCGATGCCCCCATCTGGGGACCGAGCTTCCAGCTCATGAGCCTTTGTGAGACCAACCACACCCAGTCCACCGAAGTCATGTAGGCATGGCTGTCACTCAGTGTCCCTCTCCTCCAGAGGCCAAGGTGTCACCCAAGGCTCCCACAATAACATGCACTGTGAGCACAGACTAAGTGGCCTAAGGCCCTCAGGTGGAGAAGGACACTCCTCGGACAGGATACTCCTAGGGTGGGGAGGTTATCTCCCAGGAGCAGGTCAAGGGCCAAACCTTTCTTTGGTGTGGACAACCCAGACTTGCTGAGTTATTTCTTTACCGTGTAGTTCCTCCGATGGCGCAGAGCTGGTGAGGAATTCCGGTATGACAACAGCTCTGGCTTGTTTTTTATCTTTTTAAGATAGGCTTTCACCATGTCATACTCTCCCTGCCCATGCCTCCCAGCTGGGACTCCAGGCACGTGCCACATGCCTGGCTGACCAGCTCCTGCTTTTTGCTTGACCTCTGCCCCTCCCAGGACTCATCCACAGCATCTTAGAACCCCCTAGGCAGCAGTGAAACAGCCGCATGCCTGGTCTCCTGCCCCACCACCCCGAGGGGAAGCACTGCGGATTGAGAAAGGACAGACAGAGAAAAACGGAGGCCCCGGGAACCAGCAGTTAGTGTAATGGCTATGTCGCTGGACTCCCACGTAGTCGAATGTGGTTCGCGTCCCATACCCGGTGGCTTAAAACTCACGCCGGGCGCATATGCGTGTGTGCCCAAGATCCCGAGAGGAGAATGGAGGAGAAGGGATTGCAGCGTGACCATCCCCCCTGGGGGGTGAGTTCTCGCTTTCTGTCTCTATGTCTCTCTCTGTCTGTCTGGTGAGTGCATGCACCCTATAGCGAAAACCTCTCCAAAAAAATAAATAAATAAATAAAACCGGAGACCCCAGCGATGTTCGCTGGAGAAGGCCCCAAGCAGCTGTTGAGAGGAGAATGGAGGAGAAGGGATTGCAGCGTGACCATCCCCCCTGGGGGGTGAGTTCTCGCTTTCTGTCTCTATGTCTCTCTCTGTCTGTCTGGTGAGTGCATGCACCCTATAGCGAAAACCTCTCCAAAAAAATAAATAAATAAATAAAACCGGAGACCCCAGCGATGTTCGCTGGAGAAGGCCCCAAGCAGCTGTTCTGGGCTCGCCCAGCGATGTTCGCTGGAGAAGGCCCCAAGCTGTCCTGGGCTCGTTCTGTCATAGGCGAGGTAAAGCCCTGCACTTCAGCTGTGGAGCACCTCGGGTTCCTAGACCAGCCTCTCCTGGCCTTCTCTGGCTGACACCCAGGTTTCTATGGGCATTAGGTGACGGCTTTGCTTAGAGCTTTTGCATGCCCTGCAGCGTAAGCACAAAGACCATTCCCATTTCAAGGTGTTCCCGGCAGTCCCCAGAATGATTCAACTATATTCTCTCGAACTGGGGCTTTGGCATTCATGTTTCTTTTTCTTTCTTTCTTTCTTTCTTTTATATATTTTTAAATTTACATTCCTTCACTGTACATCATTACAGCATACAAAATGAGATTTTCCATCCAGAGTACACTGTATCTTGGCTCAGTGAAGCACATCAACATACATGTTACTGTCAACAAATAATTTTCCATTTCTTGTTTCCTGTATGTTTTGCTTTTCCCCCCATCCTTGATTCCCTAACTCTTACCCTCTGCCATCGAAATGGAAAATTTTTGATAATAATATACATGATTAAGTCACTATGCAATATATTCTGGATGGGAAATCACATTTTTGTATGCTGTGATGG